TAATGGAAAATAGCTGGGATTTATGAATGACACATCAATGTATCACATAGCTCCTTTGCAAGAACTTAGGCTTTGAAAACATCAAGTATATTTTGAAATAAAGGATTAAATATTAATACAAATAATAACCTAATCATATTTTAATTCTTCACCAAGAAGATGTTTGTATAAATATGAATTTACATAAATGTAGGTATGGATATATTGGCAAATGATGTCAAATGAAGCTCTTCTGAAGATGATGAATAAAAATGTTTGAAACACATTGGCTTATAAGGTAGTAAGTAGTAGGCCTTGGTTGCGTTTGGACAGGATGGGACAGGCTACAAGAAATAGTATGGCTAAATTGACTAGGGCTACTAAGTGTATGTTTTATTTTGAACCTAAAGTTTGAGGAGTTTATGAGCTTACCAGGAGATGCTAAGGAATATGTGGGTCAATGGTCTAGGATGAACAAAAGAAGCCAAAGCTGCATGTACATATATGGCTTGGTGTCAGCAGCACATTGAGAATGGCCGAAGCCTTGGGAAAAGCCAGTGTCAGCCAGAAAGAATGTGGGAGCAAAAGGAAGATATAAGTGTACCCTGAGGTACACTGATGCATAGGGTGTGACCAAAGAGAGGAAAAAAACATGGAAGAAAACCAAAAGAAAATGAGGCTCCACCAACCCAGGGATAAGTTTCAGGAAAACAGAGCCCAGATGTTTAGATGCAGCACAGAAGTTAAAACAACTGAAGTCTGAAAACCCCATGTTGTCAATGAGGGCTTTGGTCAGAGCAATTCCTGGGAAATGGTGGGGTGGAAGCAGTTCATATGATGAATAAATTATTACAGAGAGAGTGAAAAAACATTGAGAGTCAGGTAATTATTTTCAGCCTTTCTCTCTGTCAATTCAACTTCAATATAATGCCGTAATGAAATTTCTTTCTTTTTGTGTGTGTTTATGTAATTTACCAACAAAGACATAATAGATCTTAAGCATGTAATGAACTGAGGGATTTCTTGTTATTTCCTTAGAAACTTTCAGTGCTGAAACTGAGACAGTATCAGAAAACTGGAATGGCTGATTACCTAGAACTTGAAATAGATAAGTTAGAAACAACAACAACAAAAAATGTAGATTCTTTTTCTGAGTGACTTGACCGTAAAGAGAAGAGCACAGAGTGAGACCCAGCAAGGAAATCTGGATTGAGAGAGTTGTTCAATTCTTTATTCCCCATTGTTCTTAATTATTTTCATCATGCTGAAGATGTTTTTCTAGAATGAGAGGAAAGCACGAGAGAAGATGCCACTGAAGATATAGGAAAGTAAAGAAAATAGAGCAATGCCTTGACCTCAGGAAGGAGGAAGGGCGGGATACTGCATTCTGGAGAGAAACTTGTGTGGAGTGAGAGGAGGAGTGATTACCATAGATGGTCTCTCTCTGGTCAGGACCTAACTGTGATGGGAAACATAGGTGGAAACTTGCATGGAGGTGGGCAAAGGCTTGGGACATTCAGAGGTTTAGGAAGACACTAAAATAATTCTAGGCACCAAGAAATGCCCAGCTGAGAAGGAAATCACAAATATGTATCCCAATCAGACTTAGGGTCCTAAGCCTGTCCAAAGTCATACAATCAGAGACAAATTATATTTCTTTTTTTTTTTCTTTTGAGGCTGGCCTTGAACTCACTATGGAGCCCAGGTTGGCCTCAAACTCACAGTGTTCCTCCTGCCTCAGCCTCTTGAGTGCTAGGATTACAGGTGTTCACCACCATGCATGGAGGAGACATATTTCTGGTCTTGAAAAAGACCTACTATTGCATGTACACATAATTATTTGTGGATAGTGGCTAATGAGACATAAGAACACATTCTAACAGGTATAAGTTACATAGGAGAGAAACAATAATTTTTTCAGCCCTTAGCAGAGCTATTATTAATGGGCACTATTTACCGTACTATAGTAGGTGGCATGGTCAGACACAGTTATGTTCAGACTGGAAGGCAATATAGAGAGAATAATCAGGGATAGGGGAGTTTGGGGGCCATGTGGAAGCCTAGCACACACTCAGCATCCTGGATAACAAGATGTTTTCAAGACTTGAGATAGCACCAAGCCAACATCAAATAACACCACCCCTCTCTTGATGACCATTTATCCACACCTTATGCCAAACGCCCACAAGAGCCCTTTGTGATGGGCTGTTATCCAATTTTCCAGTGAGAAAACTACATTTTATTATGATAGGTATGTAACTGGTCATGGCTAGTAAATTAGCAGAGACAAGAAGTAACTAAGTTGACTCAGCTCCTTCCCTAAGCCTTTTTTAAACTTAAAACCATGAGAGTAATAACAACATCAAAACACAGCCCTCTATAACAATATAATGAGACAATGTATGTGAAAGTGCCAGGCACCTCACTGACACTGTCTAGCGTAGCAGTCCTCGACTGGTAATAATGTTGTCTCCCAGGGCACATGTGGCAATGGGAATAGGTTTGAGTACCACAGCTAGGGGACTGCTTTTGACCTGTAATGGGAAGAGGCCAAGGATACCGCTAACCATTCTTACCATGAACAAAACAGCCTCTCTAGCAAAGAATTATAGTTCCTAAAATGTCAACAGTACTGAGATTGAGAAGATGTGCTCACAGCATAATGCAGGGGACTGGGAAGCAGACACACAGACCACAGCACAGCCTCACAAGTAACAAGTAGAACTTGATGTTGGGAAACTCATAGATCTGGGACTTGGATCCAGCACTTGCTTTTGACAAGACATTCAACCCGAGGCTCAGGTTTCAAATGGGGTAATAATAGTACCTATCTCTTGGGACTGTTAAGAGGATTGGTGAAACATCTGTGTTAGTCTTATTACTAATAAAAGGTGTGGGCCGGGGATTTAGCTCAGTGGTTCTGCTGCCTGCCTCACAAGCACAAAGACCCGAGTTCAATCCCTGGTACCAATAAATAAAAAAACAAACAAACAAATAAATAAATAAAATAAAAGGCATGACAAGCAAGATATTAGGGGTGAAAAACCTGGTTTCACCAAACTATGTCAGAAGGGGAAAATGAAGAGAAGAACATTACAGTGACACTTCAGCCTTAGTAACAGTCACAAAGTTATTGTGAAATTCTACCCTGAGTTATACTCATCATAAAATAATTTAAACTAATTATTGCATAATATTCTGTTAGCACAATACTTTGACTTATGAAATCAATCTGTTCCCAAGGGGTGGTTGTAACTCAAGTTGGTTGTAAGTCAATACAGCTGAGATCTGAATGTTTACCTGGGTACATGTTATAGATAATAAGAGATAGATGAATCTTCCACTAACCTAATTCACCCAAGTTGTTCATATGTCAGGCCAGTCGTAATTTGAGGGTCCATTGTAAAATGAACCACCATTTTGAAGGAAATTCAGACACCAAAACTTGCAAAAGTTCGTTTTGTCATTACCAAGACTCATTACTGTATTTCCCATATGCTTAAGAAAGATTTTATTTAAGAAAGTGATTTAATGATAGTATTTAAAGTTCTCTCTACTATTTCTTAGTACCTATTTTTTTTTGTAGCAAATTCCTTTCACAATACTTTTGATTTGGGCAAGCATTGATCTGGATTTAAAATTCTACTGTGGCAACACCGGGATTCTGACTTTCTCACATCTAGATACTTTTACAATGTATCTGGGCTGCCCAAGCAGCTCTCCTTTGCAACACTTGCCTCTGGAATAGAAGCAGTTCTCTGCAATGCAATTGATCAGTAGAAAAATATCTCTACACTTTCTGGCTGTTAGTCTCTTCTTGCATTTTCACCTATAGGTCTGTGCTGAGTGACCTCCTCTTTTCCCTCCATCTGCTCACTTCCCACTCAGTCTTTCCTCCTCAGCACATCAACAATCCTGATAGTTCCCCATGTCTGTGATACATCCCAAGATGATTATTTCTCTGACTTCCCACCCCCAGCACCCTCAGCTTCTCTTAGACAAGAGATTGCGCTTTTCCATCCAGGTGCCCTTCAGACTTTGTCCATCGGACCTGCTATTCAGGGAGTAGAGGGACTCCTTTGGAAACTTCACATCCATCACTGTCCGCTATCATAGAGATATGGAATAAGAAATGGAAATATGAAATGAGGAAATAAGAAATGAGGAAGCCCAGGGAGGCAGCAACCAAGGGAAGAGGTGTGGGGTGGAACAGGAGGCAAGATGTGAGAGGTGTACAGCTTGTAAGAGAAAGGCCAATCATGGGACAAACAGATGAGCCAAAAGAGCATAGAAATAACACTCCTAATCATTCCATGCATAGAAATCATTTCTATATTTGTATAATAAAGCTCCAGAACCAGTCAAGCACTGTGTAGCCTCGAGCATTGCAGGCATTTCACGTCTGAGTGACCCAACAAGCTATGAAGAAGTGAGAAGTGGAAGAATACTGTAATCCCCACCCTCAGACAAGGAAATTTAGATACAAAGAGGCTAAAACTTGTCTCATCTCTCCTTTCCAAAATGGAAAGAACAGAAAAATGGACACCAAATTTGCCCAATTTGTCTCCTACCTCAAAGATCTGCAAGAAAAGTAAGCTATGGAACATGTAGAGTAGAAAGGAGTGAAAGGAAGCAGAAGGGAGCAGGGAGGGAAGAGGGAGGGAGGAGGAAAGGAGTAACAAACAACAGAACCATAACCTAGGACCAGCTCTCAGGGAGCAGTGGACTGGTGGCCTGGTGTCCTCAGCAACATTCTCACCTAATAACGCTGAGAGGCCACAGGAAAAACTGTTCTCTAAGAAAATACTCAGATCAATAGCAACGCACCTCCGCTCCATTTTTTTTCAACATAGGCTTTAATTCATAATGCACTCGAGGGAAAGGGCCAGAGCAATGTGTACGGGGGTAAACTCGATGCCCGGACCTTCGCTGAAAAGCTGGAGAAGGGCAGGTAGCAACTGAGGCTACGTCTTGCCCTTTCTGCCACCCCACCCACCATAATTCCCCAAACCTCATCTTAGTTTTTGTTTGCTTGGGGGGGAGGGTCCAACAAGAAACCACAGACGGCTTAAATAAAGTCCACTTGAGGCGGTGATTAAGACGATCCCAAACACGTCTTCGTGTGTGTCTCTGAAGTTCCCTTTATTAATTGCCTTTTGTATTGCCCCGTTTCATCTTCGAGTGCATTTCCCGTCCTTCTCTCGGCTCAGCAGGGCGAGCCCCCCTGCAGTCTCGGGGGAGCGCAGGGTACCTCGCAGTCAGTCCCGGGGCAACCCCTCCTCTCCCGGCGCCCCATCCCAAACCCCGTCTGGTCTCCAAAGGCTGGAGTAGGGCGTGCGGCTGTAGCCCGTGCTGTAGTCGTAGGACACCTGATGGTGCGGCTGCGGCAGCGCGCAGTCTGGAAAGAAGGGGGCGAAAGGGGCCACAGGGCCCGGCCCGTCCTCCACACCCGGAGAGTCCGCCGCGGCGGGGTACAGGGGGCGCAAGGCCTCGTTCAAGGTCAAGCCTGCGGGGGCCGCCTCCAGGGGCGGCTTCTTGGCGGGTGGGCAGCTCTGGGCGCTCCAGGGCTCGGGGTACAGTAGGTTCCCCACGATCACCGGCGGCGGCGGCTCAAAGAGGCCAGGCTCCAGCTCCAGAGGTCCCCGCAGGACCGCGGCTCCGGTGGGAAACGCGTCGAGAGGCTCCGCGGCCAGCAGGACGCCCGCCTCGGATTCCGCGCCGTAGTCCGGCCCCAGCAGCTCGAAGAACTCCACCGCCTCCGCCCCTTTCTCCAGGTCGCCCAGACTCACGCCGGGCCCCGACGGGCCGCCGCCGCCACCGCCCGCCCGGGATGGCTCGGTGAAGAAGGACGGGGGCAGGTTGCGGGCCCGCAGAGGGACCTTCCTGGAGCCCGACACCGCGGGGCCGGCCGCGTCCCCTCCGGCGCCGCCTGCGCTCGCTCCGCCGTGGCCCTGCGCCCGCACGGCTTCGGCGCCCCCCGCCGGCTCGGCGCCCCCGGGGACGTAGCGCAGCGAGTCGAAGAGCGCGGCCAGACTCCGGCTCTGCAGGCTGGCGGCCGCGGCGGCCTGCGACGCCTCCCGCCGGGGCACCGCCTTGCCGTGCGCCGGGGTCGGGACGGCTGGGGCGCAGGGGAGCGCGGGCGGCCGCTTGGCGGGCCCGTCAGCTGCGCCGGGCGAGGGGGGGCCGCCGCCCATGAGGCCGCTGCAGCGCTTGATCTGCTTCTGCAGGTACTTGCGGTGGTTCACCTTGCGCTTGGACTTGCCGGGCTTGTCCAGCGCCAGCTTGATGTTGCTGGACGCCGAGTCGATGAAGCTCAGTAGGTCGCGGGTGGCCTCGCGCACGTCCCCGCCCTCGGCTCCAGGCAGCAGCGCACCCGCCGGCGCCCCGTTCTCATCGTCTTCGAAACAGCAGCCCTTGTCCAGGGCTCCGAAGGCGCCCCCCAGCCCGTCCGGGGAGCCCCCGAAGCCGAAGGGCACGAAGGGGTGCGTGCTGAGGAGCGCCGCTTGCACAGCCATCGGCGCGGCTCCCGGGCGGTCCCCAGCGCGGCCCGTGCGCCCCCGGCCGGCTCCCGCCCCGGCGTGGCGCTGCCTCCTCGCTCCGGCCCCGCTCGCCGCTCGGCCTCCCGGGGGAGCTCATTAGATCTTGTAAGCAAGGGGCGGAGGGCGGGAGCGCACCGCGACCGCCTCGGTGGCGGAGGAGGGGCTTACCCGGCTTGGTGGGGCGGGGGTCCGGGGGCTCCGGCGCTTTTCTAATTTTCTCGGCTTTCTCGTGCTTTAACCCTTTTCTTTCTCCTTTCCCCCGGAGCGTTTCTTTTGACTAGCTTCAGCCGCCAGAGCCGTGGAGATGATCGTTCAACCCCTGCACAACCACATCCTGGCACCTGAGACTGTTCTGAGGCACAGAAGGCAGCTGTCCAGAGACGTGAGGTTCAGTCCCAGCTCTGGTAACAGTAATCACAACCAGCGTCTAGGTGTTTGCCTATGTCCGGCACTGTCCCTGCATTATCTCATTTAATCTTTGAACCGCAGCCCTAGGAATAATCTGTTAATATCACCATTTAGAAAAGGAGGACGCTTCCTCAGAGAAGTTCATGAGTCCCCAGGGCCATATCCAATGCAATCTGATTACAAAGCCAGTTAAATGCGCATAAGAAGGCCCACCTCACAGGCACTTGGCGATTTAAAAGAAACAACTGAGAAGACCCTTAGCTGCGGCTATTCCATAGCCTGGATGAGTATTTACCCTACCTATTCAGAGCACAAAAAGCTGTTTCCTTACGCATCTTCTCTGTCACAGGTGTTCATGAGGATTAAATGAGTTCACGATGTGAAAGCATTGTGAGTGACAAGATGTTCTCTAAGTTCTTACAGTATAGGAGAAAAGTACAAATGGAGGAGGTTCAGACCATTCCTTTCTAAGCTTTTTTTCAGCTGTGGCAGAAACACTTTTGAGCATACAATCTTGCCAAAGAAGAAAAGCTGAATTTAAAAGGTAAAATAGCCACTCCTCAAGACCATATAGCTGAACAGTTTTTCCTTTTTTATTCAGGTTGGCCCAGGTATCATGTCCCTTTCATTTGAGTTCAAGTATGCCCAAGTTCAAGCTGAGACACCCAGAGTCTAGTCAGTGAGGCCCACAGCTTAGTCAAAAATGCCCAGGTCTCTACATTTGACATCTTAAGTTTGAAAAATCCCTGAAATTCCTGAGAGTTACCTAAATCCTGATGTAGTCATATTCCAAATAAATAGAATATGAAGAAATTTCCGTGTAAAAGGCTTTCTTCATTTGCAGACAGTTGGAGCTCTGCACCATAGTTGACTTCAAGTTAGGTGAGGTCAGATTCCAATCTTAGGCCTGTCTACTGCTAGCTGAGGGTCTTTAAACAAAATGGTTTATCTTTCTAAGGTTCAGATTCCTCATCCGAAAAATGGGAATGCCAATAGCTGTCCTCAGGGTTTTTTTGAGAATTACATAACAGGCAAATAATACTTTGAAGTCTTACCCTCTTCCCATGTCCCCAATGGAGATCGTCTCATCCTCAAATGTGTTAGGCAGTGGTGTGTATGAAAGCACCTGTTGAGCACAAAATAGTGCTTAACAAACGTCTATAAGCTTATTTCCTTTGGCCCCATCCATTCCTTACCAACACATGACACTATGAAATCAGCAGCATTTGTCCTTTTCCCACAGCAAAGTGGGTGCCTATTTTCAAGTGCAAGAGAACAGCTATATTTGCAGGACTTCTAAGTCCACTTAGTACAGTGGAGGGAGTGCTGAAAATGTAGCCAGAAACTGATACTTGGAGTTTAATTCTGTCTTTACTGTCTGGCTGACCACAGAAAACTCACCCTGTGGGCTTTAATATTCCCACCTATGAAGAGGGAATAATATGAGCCTATCTGAAGGAAAGTTCATGAAATGCTGGAAATGAAAAGTCATTTGTCAGCTGCAAAGCTCTACATACAAAAATAACCTATCGATGACTTAGTCTGAGTCACAAAGTTGATCCTTGTACACAAATATTCATACGGTCACCTATTCATCTGAATTCAGCAGAAAGATATTGATACTCACAAGGTGCTTAGCATTATCTAAGTACTGAGGATACAGAGAAACGAAGCTGTGATTCTCACCCTTTCTGGTGGAAAGGAAGACATGCAAACAGACTGTTGTAATATAATGTGAAGCATGTCTCAGTAGAAATAAATTAAATGTGCCATTATTGATACAAAGATGTCAGTTCTGCCCAAAGGAGTGAAGGCCTTTACATAGACAGCATTTGATTTAAGGCTTAAATGGTATTTTGAGTGTGTTGAGCAAATAAACAATATGTCTCTCAAAGAGTACACCCTGAACAAAGGCACAGCTAAATGAAAGCAATAGTGTTTAAATGAAAGCATTTAGTGTTAAAGCATTTAGGCAATAAACAAAAAATGTTTGAAATAATTCAGATCAAATACGTCATTAGAGCTTCTGCTATTCAACTCAGTTGTATATATATCCTCTGCCTGTGGTCTCAGTTGCTTTTTTCCCTTGACCTCCTTTCCTTTGGGGTAGAGATCTGTCTGTGATGTAATTGGTTTCAGTAAAGTCACTGGCCAGCTTCAGCGAGGCCCATCAGCCCCTCCTATACCCTGAGTGAGCACGTTCACTTGAGTGGCTTTGACATCAATACATTTCACTTCCTATAGAGCAGAGGGACTGGATCAAGCTTGCACTGGAGACTTTGCAGAACTCCAAGCTAGATCTCTTCCGCCACTGGTGCCTAAAGCTGAGCAAGTGGGATTAGTCTCCTTGGGAACCAAGTCTCCCAGGGGCTCAAGGGCTCAACTCGCTCCAAACCATTTGGGAGAATTGAGATTTCATATTGTTCTTTTACACTTGGATTTTAGGACATTATTTAGACAAAAGCCCACCTGAGAGCTGCCTCCTTTTTGTGGGTAAATATAGCAGCAGGATCAAAAGCTGACTTACTTATTCTGTTTTCCTCTTTGTAACTTTAATCATATTCCCTGCAGGACAATCTTAGTCCTCAGAGATGTCAGGAATGCACATTCATAATGAAAGAAATAATTATGCATCTTTTTTTCCTCACTCTTCCTAAACCAATTTCCTGTCACTCACTAGTTTTGAAATCTCAAAGCAGATTAATTATTCACACAGTTTACAAAGTATCACTATCATCATAATACAGTGTTACCTTACTAATTGTACCCACACCCCCAAAATGTGTCTTTTTCTTTTCCCCCTCATCTTTTACCCCTTAATAACCCCATTCTATCAGCAGTATGTCCTACTTTCCAACTTAAAATATTAGATTTATCTTGGTTATCTGTAGTTACATGACAAATCACTCCAAAACTTAGTGACTCAAAGCACCAACCAGTTTATCATGTCTAACAATATCATGGTTCAGTATTTAAGCACAGGAATCTAAATCAATGCTCTGATCCTTGTGACACTGGCAGTGTTTGGCCTGGAGGACCCAAAATGGCATCATTGATATGAATGCAGCTGTGCTTACACTGCTGGCCTCTCCAGCATGCTTATCTAAGAGTTCTCAAACCTCTTGCATGGACCCTCAGGAAGTCTAGATACTGCCAAAAGAAGCCCATAGGCCAACTGTCCGGCTCCTTAATGTCTAGCCCTAGAATCCCCAGGTCACTTTCACTACATTTTATTAGTCAAGCAAGTCACTAAGCCCAGATCAAATTTAAGAAGAGAGACATTAGAACCTGCCCCTTCGTGAAAGAAATAGCAGAGATTTTACTTGGTATGTCTCTTAAATCTTCTAAAATCTGCAATCACCACCACCCCCCATTTTATTTACTTCAAAATTAGTTTGCTAAGGAAACTGTCATGACTTTGTCAACTTTCCCACATTCTGTACATGTGGTTGATTGAAACCATCTCCATAATGTTTTTTAACATGTTTCTGTGGTCCCTGTGTTTCTTGTAAATCCGAAGTAAATATAGAGATCTGATCAGATTTGTGTTTTTAGGTACTCTTTCTGTATTATACAGCATGTTTAATACTTTTAAAATAACAATATTATATCCTTACTAACAATATAATTACTACAATTAGATTTTATTTTATTGTTTCTTCATCTTCCCTCATTCTTTTGTTCTCCAAACATTTCTGAACAGTCTTCCTACATTTTATATCATCTGTTTGCTTCCGCCACCAAGTCAATGGATTGGTTCATTTGTTTTGCTTTGCTTTTTATTTTTTAAAATACTTTATAAATCTTTAGCTAGGTGTGATGGTGCATATCTGTAACTCCAGCTCTCCAGAGGCTGAGGCAGGAAGATCACCATGGGTTTGAGGCAAGCTTGGGCTACACAGTGAGTTCAAGGCCAGCCTGAACTACATAGAAGACTCTGTCTCAAAAATAAATAAAATAAAATACTTTATAAATCTTTAACTTTTTCATAATTTTTGACAATTTAAATGGTTTAAAGTTCAAAACTACACCACAAAGCTCACTTGTACTCCCACATTCCTATAGGTGATTGTTGTTTTGTTTCATTTGGGTTCAGGTTTATAATTTGTGTCTTAGTGACTTTCTCAAAACTGGGACACAATAACCAACACCCACAACTTACAGTAGGAGAGGTTAATTTTGCCTCACCATTTTTAGAGGGTTCAGTCCATAGTTGGCTGTCTTCAAGGCAGGAAGGGCTTAATAGAAGGGTCTGGCAGAGAAAAGCTGCTCACATTATGGTGACTAGACAGCAGAGAGAGAAGGGAGGAGGCAAGGAGATATACCCTTCTAGGTCATGCCCCCAGTAACCTTCCTCTACCCAGGTCCTACCTCCTAACAACACATCCAGGCTGAACTCCTTGGAGGATGAATCCACTGTTGAGCATAACTTCCCTCATTGATCCAATTGCCTTCTAAAAACCCATCTCTGAACATATGACACTTGTGGGGAGCATTTTAGATCTAAAATAGAATGTTCCACCTTTGGCCCCCAAAAGATTCATGTTCATCTCTTCATACAAAATGCATTTAGTCCATTTCTTAGTTGCCAGTCTTAACAGTTTCAGCAGTGCTGAAAAGTCCAAATCCAAATTCTCCTCTAAGATTGAAGACAAAGTCATAGCTCTGAGCCCCTGAAAAATCAAAAAGAGAGTTAAACACTTCTGACATACAACAGCACAGAGTAAACATTCCCACTCCAAAAAGGAGAAATAGGGCCATAGAAAAGAATGGGACCAAAGCAAGACAGAAACCCCCCAGGGCAAACATGAAATCTTGTAGTCCCATGCCCAGCACGCAGGGTGAGATGTGAAATCCTAGGGGCTTGGGTAGCCCTGTCCCTATGACATTGACAGTCACAGCCCACATGGCCTCTCTCTTCAGTGGGTGCTCCTCATTGCTTGTGAATTTTCTAAGGTGGCACATGTACCTGCCTTCAGCTTCCTAGAGTCTCCATTGCTCTTTGGGCTTCACTCTCA